GTCAGAGTATCGTGCGTACTCTTCCGTGAGCCTTGAATAAATCCGCCTTGCCGCGAGCCATGTATTATATCGGTGCTCAAAACAACGCTGCGAGCGATAATAAACGGCCGATCGATCCACCGCCCGAGGAAGGGAAGGACGGCATGAAAGATGACGCCACGGCAACCAAGATAGTGGCACAGGAAATAAAGGGGACGCGTACCGGCCATTAGTCGGCAGCAAAATCTTTGGAGTCAACCAGCAGCCACCAGGCAGGCGAAAGAACGTGCAGTGAGCACCGATATAACACACGGCTGGCGGCAAAAAGGATTCGGCCTACGTGCAATTACGCACAGGGCCACCGTTATGATTTAGGCAGAACGCTTGCTGATTTTTTTACCCTTTGAAAGGTAGGCTTTTTTATTTTCTCCAATTGCGTCTGCCTTACCTCGCATTATCTGATTTTCTCTAGTCGGCAGTTTGCCTGTCCACTCAGGGCTTCGAGGCCTGTGTGTCAAGATTTTTGCATCCAGTCCTACGAGGCTTAGGTGCTCCGCCAGCAGCGTCCGCTCTGCGTGCAATCGTAAAACGTACCATTTGTGCACACTAAGAAAACTTTCCTCTCATCACATGCTTGTAATTATGTCGAGATTCCGATAAGGAGGATGCTCTGATCGTCCTGGAAATTTTAATTAATACCTCGTGATTTTCAGTCCAAATCTCTTCTATCGTGCCTATATATAGCAAAAAAATTGAAGTCCGAAGAAAGCAAAGTCAGCTCGCAGTAAACAAAAGGGTTTTGAGTAACAAAAAACCGCATTAAAACAACTTTGTAAATTTCATTATATGAATGTAGTAGTTAACACAAGGGGGATCATTCGCCATAACTATGAAGAAGTAAAGCAAAGCAGGTCAGACTGTGTAATTTGAACCCAGGTGTCCTAAATAACCTATCCTTGCCATGCGTCTACTGATGATGATGATAATGCTTATGATTATGATTATGATAATTGTTCAACAATCGATTTCGATTAAGTCCACCATATGCACAAACAGGTTGGCACAGTGATGGTGACTAGCCACAGGGGCAGCTGTAAAATTCCACCAGACTTAGTTAGCGCCAACCCCACTCTTCACCCTCCCTATGGGTCAAGAAGACTAGACTGGATCAGGTGTTGGCCACTTTCTCCAATGTAAGCCGGAAACCACCGGGTTACTTACCCTTAAGTAACAGTAGGCTTTTGTGCTGGTTCTACCGCACTATGTACACTCCCTCACCTTCAGTAGGTGTCAAGACCGGCTCAAGGAGGCCGAAACCGATACGGCTTCTTCTAATAACTTGCAATACAG